CTCCGGGAAAAAGTACTCAGAGAGGGCACCAAAAAATAAGTTCCGCTACTCACCCGAGACACCACCAGTGAGGAGTTTTTCAATACGTAATCCTCCAAAACAGAATGATGATTCGCAGTTAGATATAGAGCTGTATGAAGAAAATAATTGGAGGTCATATAAGACACCACCTGTTTCTGCTATGGATTTATCTGGGAACAGGTCACAGAGGAGCTTGGATGCTAATGCAACAACAGTTTCGGTATGTTGAATTCCAAATATGTTTGTCTGTTCATTTAGTATTTTGATTACTATTGTTGTTCTCAATGTAGTTATAATACTACTAACATATGACAAGGAAAATTTTCTCACTAAGAAGTAGTTGGACTTTAATCGGGGGAAAAAAAAAAAAAAAACCCTCATCATTTAGATGAGTATGCATATCCCTTTTATGTTCTTAATTTTAGTCTCAAATATTTAAACTATGACTAAAATTGAAACATAATAATAAAAAAAAAATCAATTATGAGATGTATTTTTCTTTAAAAAACAGATACTATTTATTCAGCCATTCATTATAAAAAAAATATAAAAAAAATAAAGGGACAATTCTCTAATTTCCCTAATTCGTTTTTGTGGGAAAAAAAAAACGATACTGGTAACGGGCCTAACGGCCGACTGGCTGAGTTTCTGGTTAACTAAAAATTGTCGGAGAAAGAAACCAGGGAGTTACGAGGAAATAAATTTTTTAGTTTAAAAAAAATTAAAGAAAGAAAAAAAAGGAAAGAGAGGATCACTGGTCTGGTTCTGTATAGCGAAGAACAGAACAAGTCAATCCTCTTCCTACGACTAAACAAAATTCACTTTGAAAACCTTCCCTTATTTTATTTGTTTCCTTCTCTTCTCTTATTTTTCTCTTCAACTCTGAAATATGAAGGCTGGATTTCGTGGCTTCACTAAATTCACAATCACGTATATTGCCAAGTTTCGCTTTCCTAGAAACCCAACCAAACCCTAAGTTTCAGGTACTAATTTTTTTTCTTTTTTTTTTGCCGTATATGTTTGTATAAATGCATGATATATACTCTATTGCGTTTTTTTCCCTCTTTTATGGCGTGTTTTGTGCTCGAAATTCTTTCGGAGGATCTGGTCGTGCTCGCTCCCAATTTGAGTTATTTCGCTTTTAGGTAAATAAAAGGTTTGAAATATTATTAATTCGTTTGCTTCTTGTTTAATCAAATTTGCGTTCTTGTGTAAACCTTTTTTTTTTTTTCCCATCACAATGTTTCTTGTTCGCTAGATATGGAAAGATTTTTATAAATTTGAAGACTTTTTATGGTTTTGATTATTGTATGAATTTGATTTAATTTTTAATCAAAGACAAAAATTGCGTGAAATGTACTTTAATTTTTCATGAAATTTTCGAACTTTTCTATTATCTTCCTTGAAAGTTGGCTTTATATTTATAAATTTGCATACAACATACAATGTGATGGTTTGCTTTACTTGGTAAAAGCTTTACCAATGAGAACGTTAAACTGGGTTATCATTAATTAGATTGAGAGTTTTCTTTCGAATATATTATGATCAAATATGTACATTGGCAATGAAAAGGTATGAGGCGTTGGCATATAACATCTTTGGAGCAAGGTTTTGTTTTGACGTGTGGTTGTGGTAGTTTTTCTATTCATCAGTGTATTGATGCTAGTGTTCCTTGAAAGTTTGTCTTTGGTTAATGTTTTTACAGAATTCCTGTTTGTTTGGAATGTCTGTAATTCTCAGCATACATTTCTTCCCGTTGTTTTTAATTGATTTTTTTACTAAGCTAAAGGACTTATTTCAGGTCTGCTTTTAGCAGTAGAAGATTCTCGATTTGATAAAGCAGCCATTCATTTGGTAATGGATCATCCACGATCAACTACCGGGACTGGCGAGGATAACGTCGGGATTCCGGATGATTTGCGTTGCAAGAGGTCAGATGGGAAACAATGGAGATGCACTGCCATGTCTATGCCAGATAAGACGGTATGCGAAAAGCACTATATCCAGGCAAAGAAGAGGGCAGCGAATTCCGCAATGCGGGCTAATTTGAAGAAAGCTAAGAGGAAGTCATTGGGTGAAAGTGATATTTACTTGGAGAGTAAGAGTGACGATTTTGATGTACCACTTGTGAACATGAAAGAGTATCCTCTTCAGGCCTCCGGGAAAAAGTACTCAGAGAGGGCACCAAAAAATAAGTTCCGCTACTCACCCGAGACACCACCAGTGAGGAGTTTTTCAATACGTAATCCTCCAAAACAGAATGATGATTCGCAGTTAGATATAGAGCTGTATGAAGAAAATAATTGGAGGTCATATAAGACACCACCTGTTTCTGCTATGGATTTATCTGGGAACAGGTCACAGAGGAGCTTGGATGCTAATGCAACAACAGTTTCGGTATGTTGAATTCCAAATATGTTTGTCTGTTCATTTAGTATTTTGATTACTATTGTTGTTCTCAATGTAGTTATAATACTACTAACATATGACAAGGAAAATTTTCTCACTAAGAAGTAGTTGGACTTTAATCGGGGGAAAAAAAAAAAAAAACCCTCATCATTTAGATGAGTATGCATATCTCTTGGATAGCACGGGTCAGCTAACCCTTGATGTGGACTTGTCTTTCCAGAAAAATAGTTATAATAATAAAAAAGACTAATATTGGATAACCATTGCTATCAAAATTTAATTAGACTTCCCTCATCATTTAGATGAGTATGCATATCTCTTGGATAGCACGGGTCAGCTAACCCTTGATGTGGACTTGTCTTTCCAGAAAAATAGTTATAATAATAAAAAAGACTAATATTGGATAACCATTGCTATCAAAATTTAATTAGACTTAATTTTCTTTTGAAGAGATTGGTGAGTGCCGTCATTAGTCGTGATTTTATATTAGTTCTTTTTGGCTTATATGTTTCTGATTCCAAGGTGACCAAGTTTCTTCCAGGAATACTCTGATCAAAGCACAGAATCCTCTGAAGAGACTGGTGGTCAAACTTGTCATCAGTGCCGAAGGA